GGTGTCTGATTGTTTATCAAAGTTTGTTCGTCGGAGGGGGGAGGGGAGGGTTCAGAGAAGAAGAAAAAGAACTTATTATCGTATAGTGATAAATGTGGGCGTATGTGTGCTCGCATGTGTGTGTGGGTGCATGTGTGTCTGTGTTTTTGTGAGTAAGTATATGGGAGACAGAGCAAGGGGAGATAGGGGGACAATTATCATTTCAAAGAGCGGAAATATGCAATACAAATGTCACCCATATATAGCAATTTTTAAAAAACGGAAGTGGGCAGACCCCAAAAGCGTATTTTGAAACGACCCCTGGAGGCGTGGGAATTGGAAGTGACGAGGTCCCTCTGAATGCACCAATCCCTGAGAGTTTCGAGAAAATCTGTAGGTGGGCGGTCGACCTGTATATTAAGCGCTCATCTTCGAGCAGACTTCATTCATCGGGCTTCTCTCGAGATCTTCATACCAAAGATCTACACGACTGCTGAAGAGAGTAATATTTATTTCTGAGAACGTAACAAGTAAAAGATTTATTTCTAAGCGCTTGAAAAGTTTCGACTGTTTCATTTTTTAAACAGAAAGTTTCTCTTGCAGTTAAAGGTTCCAAAGAGACAGATAACTCCAAGATGCATCCCTTCAAGATCGTACTTTTAGTTGCGTTGGCAATTGCAAATATCAAGGTAAGAAAGTTTTCTTTTCGAGTGAAAACTGGACTAAATATTCTATCTTTTAAACAAAAAGCGCAGCACATAAGTGATATGCCTTGGCTAAATAAGATGCTAAGCAAGGAGTGAGTAGATCAAGCAGAAGATTAACAAACTAGCAGCCAGCAAAAAGACATGTTATGAGAGGCAAGAATGCACGAACATATGCCTATTCAAAGTTTATTCACTGTTAATATGGGATCTTGTCATGGGTAAGAATTAGGGGACTAGCAATTGATAAACTTTTCGTTGACACGGCATATTCTGATGTCAGCAGTTACTGTGTTTGAAGAATCCAGGACAGAGCCAAATACTCTGCTTGACATCTCTTCTCTCTAATTCTCTCATCTCCACAGACGTTGACCATAGCGCAGTGGGTTACCTACTTTATTAAATCGCTGAAGTTCAGGATTAAAATAAAAGTGGGGTCCATATTATAGTTGCCCTTCCTAAGACAATTTCTCATAGCCCAGATGTCCTCCATAATCTGTGGGACCCTGTGTTCTCTCTTTGAAATCACTTGCTTTGCGTTAGTAAAAAGTTGCAATCTTAACCCCAAAAAAGGCAAACACCATCGCTGAGTATTACCGATTCCTTCTTCCACAGACCAGCTCTGCGAACATCGCCTGCGATCAGACCGCTGATATTGTGTTCCTCGTGGACACGTCCTCCTCCATCTACCCCGGAGATTTCAATCTACACGTTAAAAAGTTCATCAATGACGTCGTTGGCTCCTTCAACGTTGGTCCCGGACCACTAGACACCCGTGTGGGCATGGTACTCTTTAGTACTCGTGCTCACCTGCAGTTCTACCTGCGCAGTTACAAGGTAAGCCATAGAAAGCGTAGAGTTTACATCTCATAATGGGACTTGCCTCGGACAAGGAGTGTGTGTTTTTTTTGGTGTTTTTTAAAATGTCTTTGGGGGTGGGGGTGGGGTGGGGCTGCTATAAAGCTCAAGCTACTGATACATAATGGGATAGTCCTTCAGAAACCTTCAAAAATCGTCATACGCATTTTAAGTTTTCAACAATGTTTTAATGTTAATAAAGCACTTGGCGGTGATTGTGTGTCCAGTCTTGCTATGCAGAATATTTTTTTTTTAAAGATGGGTGTATTTATTATTACTAATTCTTTGTTGCGACTCCTTCAGACCGCAGAGCAAGTGCAGGCTGCAGTGAACAGGACCCGCTTCCGTGGCGGCGACACTTACACGCACAAAGCCCTCGCCTTCACGTCTCGCATCATGCTGAAGGAATACTACGGAGCCAGGGAGGACGTCTCCAAGCTGGTCGTGGTCCTCACGGACGGCAAGTCCATCGACGAGAAGAGAACTCTACAGGAGGCTCAGAAGCTCAAAGATGCAGGTAGATTCTCATGAGAATTTTCATCTTACTTTTGTTTCATACATACATTTCATGACTAAAAATTAGTAGATCTACGTTATTTCAAGTAGATCTACGGTGCTCTTCGTTTTCATATCTATCTATCAATCTATCTATCTATCTATCTATCTATCTATCGATCTATCTATCTATCTATCTATCTATCTATCTATCTATCTATCTATCTATCTATCGATCTATCGATATCGATCGATCGATCTTACTTAATGTGTTCCCTAATACATAGTTGTCTATCTAAACGAACGTTATCTATCCATTTTTATGCTTTCTTTCACTTCAAAGGTACAGACCTCTTTTCTGCGTAGATCTATATCTTTCGTACAAAGTCGCCTCTCTTTCTCTCTCGCCCTGACTCTGTTCTGTTTCTCTCACTGTCTCTACGTTATTCTCTGTCTGTATAATAGTAGAGTCTGTGTGGTACTGTTAATTTTTTATTTATGCCAACGTGTGTACTCTCACATTACATAACACAAATAGAAGTCCTATTCATCCCTTAACAAGTTACCCCGGTTGCACTCTAGCATCTTTCTCCTTTTTTCTGCAGGTGTGGAGATTTTTGCAGTTGGTGTTGGGGAGGCTACTGACTTCAACGAGCTCAGTTCAATGGCGTCAAGTCCGAGTGACCAGTTCGCTTTTCGAGTCACAGACTTCAAAGCTCTGGACTCCATCAAGAATAGCTTCACGAGATCAACCTGCCAAGGTAGGGCAAATTAAATTAATCTATCTATCTATCTATCTATCTATCTATCTATCTATCTATCTATCTATCTATCTATCTATCTATCTATCTATCTATCTATCTATCTATCTATCTATGCCTAG